CGTGCTCGCCGTTAACCGCTTCTTCTTCCCAGTGAAGCACTCGAGCAGCCGTTCCTCCGCTCCCCAGTTCGCAAAGCCTTCTCCGCACTCCACCTCATGGCAATGATTGTCTTCTCTCGCTCATATTCTTGCTGTCACTTCTTTGTATGTTTGGGATCCCTTTAGTAATAATCATGAGAGGGGGTTGCTAGTTTTTTTGGAATGTGGTATCAACCTCCTTCCCTCAGGCCCCGGAGGGCTGGCTTTATCGTCAGGAGTCGTCGCGACCATCTTTCAGGGGCTCCCTGTTTAGTACAGGTTGGCCTCGACTTGAACAATCCTCCGGTGGGATTAGAGGTGTGGGTGAGGTTTTGTGTTTTTTGTTTGTTTTGGTTTTGGTTTTTTTTGGGGGGGGGTTCGAAACAGAGTTTGTGAGGGGTTATTTTATTCGGGAGTCCCACTGTAGCCCAGGCTGGCCTGAAACACTATATAGTCCTCCTGTTTCAACCTCGCAGATGCTGAGATGTAGGTTGCTACATCACATCCGGCCATCGGCAGTAATAGCAAGTCAAATATTTCTGGCTTTTAGGTAACTAGAACTTTTCAAATGCACACATTTCCGTAGTGGAGATTTGTTTTTGTATTGTCTCAAAGACTTGGGATGACACCTATGTTCTAAATTTAGATTGAGGAGCTGAACACATGGGTTAGCAGAGTTCCATTCTCAGCACCCAGGTCTACCTGCTGGCTAGGGCCTGTAATTCCAATTCCAGAGGATCTCATGCCCTCTCCTGGAATCTATAGGAACCTACAGTCGCACGTGCACATACCCCCCCACACACACACATATGCACACAAATTCAAGACCAGCCTGGTCTACATAGAAAATCACAAGTCATTTTTCTGTCTCAAGAAAAAATAACATATATTTAGATGACAAGCATTGAAAAACAGTTTAGATGAAGCACAAGTTTCATCAATATTCTGACCTAAAAAAGAAAATAGAAACTACGGAATAGTAATATTTTAAGAACTAAAAATGAAAATGAGGGACATTTAACCCTGAGAAGCTGGGGAATGATCTGTGAACTTCAAACTGTTAGAAAGATGGCTCAGCAATTAAGAGTTATTAGTGGGGCACACACGTACACATAAATAAAACAATTTTTGGTACTGTTTTTCTGCAGACAGGGTTTCACTCTGTAGCCCCAGTTGTCCTGGAACTTACTTTGTATATCAGCTGGCCTTGAACTCAGAGATCCACCTGCCTCTGCCTCCTGAATACTGGGATTAAAAGTGTGAGCCAACACTGCTTGGCAATAAACACAATTTTTTTGTTTGGTTTTTTTTTTTTTTTTTTTTTTGATACAGGGATTTCTCTCTGTGGCTTTGGAGGCTGTCCTGGAACTAGCTCTTATAGACCAGATTGGTCTCAAACTCACAGAGATCCACTTGCCTCTGCCTCCTGAGTGCTGGGATTAAAGGTGTGTGCCACCACTGCCTGGCTTAATAAATATAAATTTTAAGGAAGTTGGAGAAATGGCTCCCCTGGTTCACTTCTCAATACCCACAACCATTTGTAACTACAATTCCAAGAGATCTGATGCCTTCTTCTATCTGAGGGTACTGGTCATGCACACACACACATAAATAAAACAATCATGCACATAAATCCTTTAAAAATCTTCAATAAAGTTTTGTAGTGGTGCACACCTTTAATCCCATCACTCAGGAGGCAGAGACAGGTAGATTTCTAAGTTCAAGGTCAGCCTGGTCTACAAAGTAGGCTCCAAGATAGCCAAGGCTACATAGAGAAACCTTGTCTCAACAATAACAAAAAGAAAAACTAAGTAAATGATCAGTAGTATCCATACTTTGGTCCGTCATAGTCTTCCTAACTGGGGCGGGTGGATATGTGTGTAGTGTCAACCCAGGAAATGTTTTGTCACATGACACCCTCTTGTCTCCTCTTGAACACCTTCCACATTCAAAAGACAGAAAATGGTACAGAAACACCCATTTTAAGTGAAACTTTAAAGGGCTAATAAACCACATTAATGAAGATAAGGGAAGAAAGGGGTGATGGAATACTCACAGAAGGGAAAAGAAACCAAATGTATCAGAGAACTGAGAGAAGAAATACAATTTCAAAAGCGAGGTGGAAACTGCTTTCTGAGGCAGGCTGGCACATCCCCTTGCATTGCTTGTCCTGAGATAAGCAGCCATATTGGAAGGGCACTGGTCATGCAACTAGTACATACACACACTCCAAAAGTAGCCCCTGGAGTTCCATGTTGGAAAGAACTGAGCCTCCAATAGTAGGGTGACCAGCTGTTCCACCTTGTCTAGGCTACTTCCAGTATCAGTGAGAGTTCCACTTACCAGGGCACCTTCAAGTTGCAGCTAGCACCAACTTGACACCCATGTGAGGACCATCTATAGTCCACCTAACCTTCAGACACTTGGGGGTGACCAGCATCTTGGTTGTAGTTTCTTATTTTGAGTGACTTGACACCTCATCTACAGAAATTACATGAGCTAATCAAGGATGGTTGGTGGTGGTTTAAAAAAAATTAACAGGGAGGAACTCAAGAGAAGGCTCGGGTTAAAAGTGCAAAATGCTCTTGTAAAAGACCTTGGTTCAGTTCCCAGAACCCACATGACAGCTCACAACTGTCTTTAACTCCAGTTCAAGAGGTCTGATGCCCTCTGCTGGGTCTTTTGGCACTGAGCATGTACATGATACACACACATACACACAGGCAAAACATACATACACATAAAAATAAAGACAAGCATGGTGACACATACATTTTTTAATTTCACTACTCAGAAGGCAGAGGCAGGCAGAGCTTTGTGAGTTCAAGTCTAGCCTGGTCTATGCAGAGAGTTCCAGGACAGCCAGGACTACATAGACACTATATCAAAAATTAAAAGTGAAAAACAGGATCTCTGAATTTGAGGCCAGCCTGGTTTACAGAGGGAGTTCTAGGACAGCCAAGGCTACACAGAGAAACACTGTCAGTCCCCCCCAAAAAAAGCCAGGTGATGATGAAGCATTCCTTTAATCCCAGCACTCAGGAGGCAGAGGCAGGTTGATCTCTGTGAGTTTGAAACCCTGTCTCAAAAAACAAAAAATTAAAAAAATAAAGGAAAATCAATACTTCTAAGAAATCACTCAGGCCTTAGCTATTTTGGTCACCTGTTTTGAGCAACTCTGGTAAAAATTAAAAGGTGAACTGTGGTTATATCTTGTTTATGATCTAACAAAGGTTGCCTGAATATCAGAGTGCAGAGCCAGCCACACTAGTTAACCATAGAGGCCGGGCAGTGGTGGCACACACCTTTAAAGCCAGCACTCAAGAAACTGAGGTAGACAGATCAAGGCTACCCTGGGCTACACAGAATTGATCCTGTCTAAAAGAAAAATAGAGCCAAACAGTGGTGGGTCACAACTTTAATCCCAGCACTAGGGAGGTGAAGACAGGAAGGGATATGGCTGGGCAGAGAGAAGACTATAAGGTGAGAGGAGACTGGAGCTCACTGCAGTCTGAGCAGTCAGAGGATGCAGTCCAAAGAGGCAGTCCAAGGACAAGATCACCCCTTTGGTCTGAGCATTGGTAGAGGTAAGAACTCTAGTGGCTGGCCTCTCTGCTTTTCTGATCCTTCAATGCTCTGATAGCTGACTCAGAGTTTTTATTATTAAGACCAAAGAGAATCTGAGAATCTGTACTACAGTAAACTACAGATCCCCCTCCCTCCCTCCCTCCCTCCCTCCCTCCCTCCCTCCCTCCCTCCCTCCCTCCCTCCCTCCCTCCCTCTCTCTCTCCCCTTCCCTCCTTCTCTTTTTCTCTCTCTTGTTTTTCCAGACAGGATTTCTCTGTATAACAGTCCTGGCTATCCTGGAACTCACTATGTAGACCAGGATAGCCTCAAACTCACAAGAGATCAGCCTGCCTCTGCTTCTGGGATTAAAGGTATGCGCCACCATCGCCTAGTGAATATAGAGAATTCTATGAAGGGTGAGTCACTTCCTGACCATTAAGTAGGGAAAAACTACAGTCTTGCAGACTAACTGTACTATGGAAACACAACAGGCAGTATATAGAGCTGAACATGAGGCTCAGCCATTATGAGCACTAGCTGCTCTTCCAGAGGACTCAGTTCAGTTCCCAAGACCCCCATGGTGGCTCAAAATCATCCTTTAAGTCCAGTTCCAAGGAATCCAACAACTTATTCTGGCCTCCATGGGCACCAGCCACACACACAGTGAACTCACATAAATGAAGGGAAAACGTTCATAAAATAGAAATAAATCTTAACAAAACAAAACATGGCAATGTGATGAGGGCTGATGATGTCACTTAGTCATCTTACACAGAATTCAAGCCAGTCTATCTCAAAACTAGGGCATGCTGGGCATAGTGGACTATGCCTTTAATCCAGGCATATCTCTGCATTCCAGGCCTGCCATAGTCTAATGGTGAGACCTTGTCACAAAAAAAAAAAAAAACTGAAACAAGCAATGGACACCATTGTCTTCTCCCATGTGGCTTTTCACATGGACAGGGGGCTCTCATTGGAAGTGTCAGATGCTCACCCCTTACTAACACCAGCTAGACAATTTACCAGTAGAGGAAACTGGTTACTACCCAGAAGGAAGTTGGCATGTTGCCTTATGTTCAGAGGCCAGGAAGGGATGTTGGATATCTTGGAAGTGGAGTTACAGGTGCTTGTGAGGCACCTAATGCAGATACTGGAAACTGAACCTGGATCCTCTGAAAAAGCAACAGGTACTCTTAAACACTGTGCCATCTCTCCACACACACACCCCTCCTTAAAAAAAAAAAAAGACAAGGTCTCATATAGCCTAGGGTGATATACAACTGAGGATGATTATAGAGGTGTGCCTGCACATCTTTGTTTTCTGGTTTTGGTTTTTTTTTTTTTTTTTCAATTTAATGCAAAAGGAGTCTCAACGTGAACTCTAAAGACACAAAACAGAGCTGAGGCCAGAGCCATTCACTGATCATTGCTTTATTCCAGGGAACATAGTCAACTGCATTGCCTTCCCTTCTTCACAAAAGAACAATGAGTCCCTAAGTTCACAAGCAAGGTAAAACTTAGGATTCTTTCAGTGTAATACACAGAAGCCCGGACAGAAGTGCACATGCACTCCATACAGAAGTGCACATGCACCCCACACAGGAGCCAGACAGAGGTACATACATATCCCACACAGAAACCCAGCCAGCCAGTAGTGCACACACATTCCACAGAGAAGCCCAGCCCTGGTATACAGAGCTAGTTCCAGGTCAGTCAGGGCTATATAGTAAAACCATGTCTCAAAAACTAAAGTAAGAGCCGGGCGTTGGTGGTGCACACCTTTAGTCCCAGCACTAGGGAGGCAGAGGCAGGTGGATCCCTGTGAATTCAAGGCCAGCCTGGTCTAAAGAGCAAGTTCCAGGACAGGCTCCAAAACAATACAGAGAAACCCTGTCAAAAAAAAAAAGAAAAAAAAAAAAAAACTAAAGCAAAAAGGTTACATGTGCTGGGTCTGGAACTCAGTAGTAGAAGTAAAGGAGGTGCTAAGACATGTGAAGCCCTGGGTTTGAATCACAGCATGCTCCTTGCAGGCCCCTGGAAACTTAAATCAGTAAGATTTAAAGTCTACTTAAGAAAAATAACAACCCACATGGCTCACCTTATGGAGAGCTCAGTGCAGAGAACTTGCCTTGCATGAGACTTGAATTCTATTCCCTAATGTCACACAGAAAATTATACTAATAAGATACAATTTACACACTGCCAAGCACGATGGCAAACATCTGTAATCCCAACACTGGGAGGATAGGCAAGAGAACTGCAAGTTTGAGGCTAGCCTGAGCTACAGAGCAAAACTCTACCTCAAAAAAACAAAACAAACTGAAATTAAGAATAAATAAGGCTTTTTGTAGACAAAGACCCTTTTCTCTAACAGAGCTACAGAATGACCAGAAGGACCTGCAAAATTAATGAGATAAGAGATGCTGGAAACTCAAAATCTCATTAAGCCTCAGATAATTTGATAGTTTTAAAAGGCCTTAGTACTAAACCAGGCATTGTGGTGCACACCTTTAATCCTGGCACTTGGGAGGCAGAGGCAGGCAGATCTCTGAGTTGAGGCCAGCCTGTCTATAGAGTGAGTTCCAGGACAGACAAGGTTACACAGAGAAACCCTGTCTTGAAAACCCAAAAATATTTAAATTAAAAAAAAAAAGGAAAAGGACTTCAGCCTGCTATAGTTCAAGAGACAAGCACAGGCTATGGATGAGAAGCCAAATTCCTGTTTTGTACTTGGCTTTGATAGGCTGGACACAAATGGTGGCCCAACCATATGAATGACAGCATGGAACAAAAAGCTTAGTTAAAGTTAGTGGCTTCAGAGAGAAGCCATGGGGTGGGATCAGTCCTCACACTTCAGCTAAGAATGGCTCCCAGGGCAACCCCGTCAGGAACGGGCTACCAAGTATACCTTGAGGGCAGAGTTGGCCCTTCAGGCTTGGAAGCAAGAGATGGAAAACAAGTTGTTAGAGGATTTCCAGTAAGACTGGAGACACAGAAGGTTACCTAAAGTCAATTTAAATATCCTCAGAAGAAAAAACCTGGAGGTCTCATAAAAGGAAAAAACAAAAGCAAAAATAAGCCCAGAATATCCATGGATGGACAGATAAAGGAAACAGAGCAATGGATCAGATGCATGGAGATCGCTGCTGAGGTGGGTATCTGTCCTACAAGGACTGTGCGTCACTATATCCTAGAAGTTCTACATGAAGGTCATCTTCTTCCCCCAGACTCAAGTGAGATGAGAATCCACCCCAACTTCACTGATCTACCAATCCATGGCCATAGCTCCTTAGCTGACCCTCTTCCCCAAGGTTCTCCACTTTGGCAGGATGCTTCCGTTTTACCGCCAGGCTCGATTGAGGAGTTTCACCTGTGCCAGCCTCTTTGTTATCATGGTGGCAAAAACCAGGCCAAAAAGGACACTGCTGATTAGCACATAGTCATAGTCATCCTTCAGGACATCAAACTGCTTGGATGGGTAAACTCGAGTTTGGTAAATGTCCAAACCGTAGGCCACAACCTGAAAGACAGATAGAATGAGAATTGGGAAAGAAAGGCAGCCAGTGAGTCACTAGCACCTCAGACGCAGTCATGAAGGAGATGGGATTCTCAGGGCACAAGGCCACACTGCAGATGCCACATGGGGCCACTCACCAAACAAGTGGACTCCAGACCTGATGGTGCTGTGTAGATGCCTCGCATTCGAGAAACTGTCTGGTTATAGTTTATGAATCGCTCTGCATGGATCTGGACATCTGGAGAATATGGGATCAGGTTCTCCTCTCTGCAAACACAGGAGACGGACAGGGAATCTAAAAGCTGCTCTAAAGGTCTTTCTTGGCTGCCCTTCCTGGACCTGGGAAGGCTCCAGAACACACATCAAAACTTGAATCTTCTTTGAGGCCTACTGGAGATAGTCAACACTGAATGAATGATGAAGGGCTGTATGGAAGGCTGGTTGGAGAATAAGGTTAAGTTCCAATTTGATAAGAGCATATAACACAAGTCAGGCATGGAATTGTACACTGATAAATCCCAGCACTTAGGAAGCTGAGACAGGAGGACTGCTTCAAGTTCAAGGCCAGCTTGGGCTACAACGATTTCCAGGCCAGCTTGAGCTAGTGAGATCCTATCTCAAAAAAAAAAAAAAAAAAGGAAACATCACACAGCTGGCCAGCACTGCACACCAGAAGAGAGTCAGGCTACTTTCAAACCAACATGCTGAACCACTGGCAACTCCTGCTCTCTGCTCATCCTTGAAAAGCCTATTACCCTTCTTCTGGCTCCACCCCCTCTCTTGTTCCACTCCATACTCCTCTGTTCCTCCACTGCCTACCCCTCTGGGTGTCCCTCAGTGAAAAGACTTCAGAATACAGCAGAGGAGACAGGCCCAGATGATAACTGGAGCAGTCACACTAACGGTGAAGAGTCAACAAGCTGCAGACTTCCCTATCCAATCTGCCCCTTCCTCACCTTCTTCCCTTCCTAGGTCTGCACCCATCACTGCTCCTCCTCCACTTGTACAGCCTTCAGACTCAGCAGACATGACTTCAGGGCCTTGGTGCTGTTTCCTCTGCCTGGAATATTCTCCCTCAGATACCATACAGCAAGAGACTACACCTGCCATCTTCACATCACCTTTCCAAGGGGTACCCCAGGGTTTGACCTCAAATTCTCCCATACACATCCTCACAGCCGTCCCGTACTCTTCTCTCTTTAGCATTTAGCAGTGAATAACACTTGACTTGTTACTTATATCATTTCCCACCCAGATACCGGCAGAGCTCACGGTCATTTTTCCACCTCAGCCTCTAGCATGGCAGACTGAGAACTAACTTATCAGTGGGATTAAGTTCCTGATAATCAGAGCCTTCTGCCCACAGCAGGCTCACCTGCTTTGTTCTGTTGGGATCTCAGGACGCCGGGGATCCAGCAAGGCCTTGGGGAGGGAAAGGATTGCTCCAGAAGGCAGCCCAACTACACAGGAAGAAAGAAAGGTTCGTATTTACTTAATCCTGAATGAGGGGCAGTTACATAAAAGTTTACAATTAAGAATCTCAAATAAACAAAGGAAAAAACAGGTCATTGGGCTGGAGAGATGGCTCAGAGGTTAAGAGTAATGGCTGCTCTTTCAGAGGTCCTGAGTTCAATTTCCAGGAACTACATGGTGGCTCACAACCATCTATGATGAGGTCTGGTGCCCCCTTCTGGCATTCAGGCATAGAAACACTGTATACATAATAAATAAATAAAATCTTTTTTTTAATTTTTTTATTTATTGTGTATAGTCTTCTGCCTGCATGCCAGTGGAGGGCACCAGATCTCATTCAAGGTGGTTGTGTGCCACCATGTGGCTGCTGGGAATTGAACTCAGGACCTCTGGAAGAACAGTCAGTGCTCTTAACCGCTGAGCCATCTCTCCAGCCCAAAGTTATCAGAAAACACCTCTTTTTTTTTTTTTTTTTAAGATTTGTTTATTTATTACATATACAGTGTTCTGCCTACATGCCAGAAGAGGGCACCAGACTGAATTGTAGATGGTTGTGAGCCATCATGTGGTTGCTGGAAATTGAACTCAGGACCCCTGGAAGAGCAGTCAGTGCTCTTAACCTCTGAGCCATCTCTCCAGCAATAAAATCTTTAAAAAAAAACAGGTCATCAAGGTCCCATTAAATAATCAAAAACAAACAAAATGAAACCATTGGAAACAATAAAACAGTAATTCACAAGAGTATGAGTGAAGGTGCCTGGTTCTGAAAACACTGGTTTCTTCCCATATTCTAGCTAGCCTGAGGCCATGTGGGCTATTGGGTAATGCAGCCAGGAAGACAGAGGACCAAGCATTAAACAACATCAGTTTTGTAATGGTAATCAAAGGTCCTGTGATGCCCAGAGCTAGCATCCTTCTACCTGAAAGTAGCACCCAGTACCTATCAAATCTAAGAATCCCAAGTGTCTTAAATAAACTAAACTCTCACTGAGTCCCAATCTTAGATTCTAACAAATAAGTTCTGTGGTTTTTTCAAGTCTGTACAGACTATGTTAAGAATGGCAATGGGGGGGGGGGCACGAGTGGGAAGAGATGGCTCAGTGGTTAAGAGCACTGGCTGTCCTTCCAGAAAACAGGGGTTTGATTCTCAACTCCCACATGGCAGCTCACAACTACTTGTAACCACCTGTAACTCCAGCTCCAGTGAATCCAACGCCCTCTTCTGGCCTCCCTAAGCACCAGGCACCCATGTGGTACACAAATGTGCACAAAACACCCATAGACATAACATAATTTTTTTAAGTTAAAAAAAATGACATCGCCGGGCATTGGTGGCGCACGCCTTTAATCCCAGCACTCGGGAGGCAGAGACAGGCGGATCACTGTGAGTTCGAGACCAGCCTGGTCTACTCAGTGAGTTCCAGGACAGCCTCCAAAAACAATACAGAGAAACCCTGTCTCGAAAAACCAAAAAAAAAAAAAAAAAAAAAAAAAAGACATCAAGAGCTAGGTATGATAAAGAACACCTTGAATTCCAGCACTTGGAAGGCAGAGAGAGAATCTCTGGGATTAGAGGCCAGTCTGGTCTACATAGTGAGTTCTAGGACAGCCAGGGCTATGTAGAAAGGCTCTGTCTCGGAAAAAAAAAAAATCAGAATGCTGGGCATTCAAGATGTGGGGCATGAAGATTAGGAGTCTGAGGCCACCTTGGGTCATGTAAGATCCTATCTCAAACAACAACAAAGAATGACATTAAGAGTCAGACACAGGGGGCTGGAGAGATGGCTCAGAGGTTAAGAGCGCTGTATGCTCTTCCAGAGATCCTGAGTTCAATTCCTAGCAACCACATGGTGACTCACAACCATCTGTAATGCAGCCTGGTGCCCTCTTCTGGACTGGGCAGAACACTGTATATGTAATTTAAAAAAAAAAAGAGTCAGACACAGAAAGACAGGCTCCAGGAAGAGATGGTGGGGGAAAGAGAAAGAGAGCCCAGGGAACTCCACGCTACATGGAAATACAAGAGCGACTTTGTAGAGGGAGGGAGGAGACCAGCAGAGGGCAAGGTTATAGTGGGGGAAGGGTATAAATTAGAGCAAAGAATATTGACACGTTATTGTGTGTGTATGTGAGAGAGAGAGATAGAGACAGAGAGACAGAGAGAGACATTAGGGATAGCTTTCTGAGCTTCGAGAAAGCACCAAAGAAAGGAAATGGCTCATGAGAATCGAGGACTGAGCAAAGGCCATCAAAGCTTAACTAAGCAAGAAAGAGAGCACAGTCTCCCTGTTGGCAGTGCATCCCCCTTCAGTGTGAACCCAGTCTCCCTGTTGGCAGTGCATCCCCACTTTGATGTGAACCCAGTCTCCCTGTTGGCAGTGCATCCCCCCTTCAGTGTGAACACAGTCTCCCTGTTGGCAGTGCATCCCCCCTTCAGTGTGAACACAGTCTCCCTGTTGGCAGTGCATCCCCCCTTCAGTGTGAACCCAGTCTCCCTGTTGGCAGTGCATCCCCCCTTCAGTGTGAACCCAGTCTCCCTGTTGGCAGTGCATCCCCACTTTGATGTGAACCCAGTCTCCCTGTTGGCAGTGCATCCCCCTTCAGTGTGAACACAGTCTCCCTGTTGGCAGTGCATCCCCCCTTCAGTGTGAACCCAGTCTCCCTGTTGGCAGTGCATCCCCACTTTGATGTGAACCCAGTCTCCCTGTTGGCAGTGCATCCCCCTTCAGTGTGAACACAGTCTCCCTGTTGGCAGTGCATCCCCCCTTCAGTGTGAACCCAGTCTCCCTGTTGACAGTGCATTCCACTTTGGTGTGAAGTCCTCTTAACACTCACTGAGTAAGTGCCGGCTGGTGATGCCCCGCTCTGTGATGGTAGCCTCCATGGCACTGATGGAGGAGGGGAAGATGTAGGACTGCTGGAGGACCTGGGGCAGCTGGGGACGGTCTAGGGAGCTGAAGGCAGTGGCATTATACTGCTCAGTGCCCTCGTAGAGCTCCAGGGCGGTCAGTTCATTGCGCCGAGCCTTAGAGTTCCAGTACTGGTACTATGGGCAGAAGGGGAGGCGAGCAGGGTTTAGTGTCAGATCAATTGAAAAGGGAAGGTTACACTACAGCAGCTTCAGACCAGGAAAGAAAAGAACCAGCTGTCCCCTGCTCTTCTTCCTGGTTGCAGTTTTACTAACTTCCATGACAGCTTTGTCTGAGCTGTAAGTTGTCCATGACATGAGAATAGCCAATGTGTTCTGGAGTCATAGTAATAACAGTCACTTTATGGAGTTTATGAGGTGCACTGTTCTGAGCTCGCCCAGAGGAGACTACTGCTGTCCCTACCTCACAATGCAACTAGAGCTCACAAGACGGAAGAGCAGAGCTCAAGACCAAGTAGTCAGATCTGGCCCCAGGGGCCAGTGCTACCGTCCAGGGGCCTGAGGCATTGAGAAAGGAAAGTGGCTCCTGTTTCTGGAAAGAACATAAGACTCAGGGCCCTCCGGAGCTGCTGTGTGTCCCTGGTAGTGACTCCTTACCACTACCCAGTTCTCTGAATGCACAAGGTGGACGGGGCCCTTGGCCTTCTTCTGCACAGAGGAGTGGATGATACGGCCAGTGACACCATCAATGAGGAAGATGCCAATAAAGGTGCGCTCATGGTGAACATCCGTGCTCTCTGTCACCACAGCCAGCAGGTTGGGGTTCAGACTCTAGGGAGAGAAACCATGATGACAAACTTTAGGAACCATGATAGCATGTCGTGTACTTGGCTCTTCTGTGAACCCTGGGACCTGAGGCCAATATGGAGCTCAGCTGCTTGGCAAAGGAACCAGCACTGCTGAGCAAAACAGCTCCTATGTAGTTTCTCAACTCAATGCTTGCTTTGCATATTCTGAGGACTGGGGCCACACTGCAAACCCTGCATGTCCCTTAATCCTCTCTGAAATCTTACGATACAGCCACCCCCCACAATGTAATTCTGAGGACCAAATCCAGGTGGAAGTGCCTTTGTCTGCTGAGCCATCTCGTTCACCACCACCACCTTCTTCTGAGACACAATGTCACTATGGAGTCTAAGCTGGTCTTAAATTTACAATCCTCCCATTCACCTCAGCCTTCTGAGTGATGGAATTAAAAGTGTACCACCATCCCCTAAGGTTGTTTGTAGCCCACAAACCACCTCAGGGAATTTCTGATGGACTGACTAACCTTTAACCCCAGAAGACTGCAGTCATGCCTGTGCTATTAATAAATCTAGCGTCTAGCCGGAAGGGCCATACAGCAAGCACTGGGAGAAGATGAACAGCTCATGTGATGCCCACAACCAGAGGCAGAAGGGACATTTGTTCAGGCTGGGTACATAGCTGGGTGACAGAGTACTTCTCCTAGTGCAACAGATCCCTGAGTATATCCACAGCACACACATACTTCACAGACAACAAACCAAACATACAGCAATCAAATGACTTGACCATAATTTCAACACTTCCTTTCCCTAAAGCCTTACTTGGGCCAGTGAAATGCCTCAACAGGTAAAGATACTTGCCACCAAGCCTCCTGTCAACCTGAGTCCCAACCCCAGGACCCACACGGTGAAAGAAGACAGCCAACTCCCACAAGTTGTCCTCTGACTTCACATATACAAAATAAATGATGTAACAAAATAAGTAGGACAAGTTAGTGCATGCTGTGCCTTTAATCCCAACACTCAGAGGGAGAGTGATCTCTGTGAGTTCAAGGATAGCCTGGTCGACAAAGTAAGTTTCAGGACAGCCAGGGCTACATAAAAAAAAAATCTAAAAATCATACAGATTAATAAATAAAAAGCAACCTTCCTCATTGCTAGGCTGCTGCACCGTACCTTATAGAGCACACTTCGATCCCCCATCACTCGGCCCTGGGAATGCACATGCTCGCCGCTGCGTTTCCCCTTCACCTTGACTACCCGCTGCACTTCTGGGGGAATGGTGAGCTCCCAACTCAGTTCCACAGTGAGATCCTAGGGAAGAGAAGAGCACTTGTGACCAAGGGATAGGCCAGGGCCAGAGATGGAGGCAGAGGCCTCCTACAGCTGAGACAGTTGGCAGTGTGGTATCTAGAAGGACCAGGAGCAGACTCGGCTTAGGCTGGATGCATAGGTAAGTCAGTGATTTACTTACCGAGTTTGACTCCCACACCCAGATAAAGGAAGTCTAGGGGTAGCTGCACTTGCACTTGTAATCCCAGAACAGAGAAAGTGGAGAAAGAAGGACCCCAGTGGTTCACTGGCCAGCCAGCCACGCCTACTCAGTGAGCACCAAACCAGGAGAGCACCCACAAAGTGAAAGTACAAGGTGGTTGGCACTTGAGAAATGACACCCAACACAGTTTGACTCTGGCCACTATACATATACATACATGTGTACTTACACCCTCACACACATGTATATATACACAAAAGCAAAACCTGTGAAGAAGTTTAGAAGTCTCTGTTTAATAAAGGAAAATATAGCTGGGTCTTCACAGTGAGTTCCAGGCCAGCCAGGCAGGATTACACAGTGAAGCTCTTGTCTCAAAGAGATACTAAGCCTGGTAAAATGGTTCAGCTGGTAAAGATGCTTGCCACCAAGCCTGACAACCAAAGTTCAGTCCCTGACACCTATATGATGGACAGAGAGAAATGGCTACTGCAAACTGTGCTCTGACCTCCACATGAGTGTCATGGTATGTGGGCTCATGCTTGTACATGCATATATACACACACTTCGCTACACTCATACAGAAAAAAAATGTAATTACTTTGTTTCGTTTTGTTTTGTATTTTGGTTTTTCGAGGCAGGGTTTCTCTGTGGCTTTGGAGGCTGTCCTGGAACCAGCTCTTGTAGACAAGGCTGGTCTCGAATTCACAGAAATCCACCTGCCTCTGCCTCTGCCTCTGCCTCCCAAGTGCTGGGATTAAAGGCGTGCGTACCACCGCCGCTGCCGCCACCTGGCAATGTAATTGTTTATGAAAATAAGCGTTGGTGGTGCATGTCTTTAATCCCAGCACTCGGGAGGCAGATGCAGGCAGGTCCCTGTGAGTTCAAGGCCAGCCTGGTCTACAGAGCAAGTTCCAGAACAGCCTCCAAAACAATACAGAGAAACGCTGTCTCGGAAAAAAAAAAAAAAAAGAAGAAAAGAAGCAAGAGGGGGCTTGGAGAGATAGCTCAGAGTTTAAGACCACTGAATGCTCTTCCAGAGGACCCAGGTTCAATTCCCAGCACTCATATGGTAGCTTACAACTGTCTGTAACTTCAGTTCTAGGGGACCCAACACCTTCACACAGACATACATGCAACCAAAACATCAATGCACATGAAATAAAAACAAATTATTAAAAAAAGAAAGAGGGGCTAGAGAGATGACTCAGAGGTTAAGAGCACTACTGGCTGCTCGTCCAGAGGACCTGGGTTCAATTCCCAGTACCCACATCGGTAGCGCACAACTGTCTCTAACTCCAGTTCCAGATGAACTGACACCCTCTCACATAGTATATAAAGGCAAAACACCAGCGTATATTAAATAAGTAAATAAATCACTAAAAAGAAAATAAGAAAGATACTAAAGCAAGGAGTTGGGAATGTAGCTCAATTTATAATCCCAGAGTTTAGGAAGCTGGGAGAAGAAGGCTGCCATGAGTTCAAGGCCAGCCTGAACTACATAGTAAGACCCTGCCTCAAAATAAATAACGGCTGGAGAGATGGCTCAGCAGTTAAAGGCTAGACTCACAACCAAAATATAAAATAAATAAGTAAGTAGGGTACCTGAAAAAATAATGAAGCCCAGCTGGGCAGTCAGTGGCAATGCACACCTTTAATCCCAACTCTCAGGAGGCAGAGACAGGTGGATCTCTGTGAGTTCAAGATCAGCCTAGTATACAGAGCAAGTTCTAGGACAGCTAGCCAGGATTTCTAGGACAGACTAGCCTATACAGCAAGTTCCAGGGCAGCCAGGGCTGTTAGACAGAGAAACCTTGCCTCAAATAAATAAATAAATAAACAAACAAATAAGTGACATTAAGTAAAAATGCAAATAAATAAATAAGATAAATGTAGATCTGTTCTCTTTGAAAAAGACATAATTTTATGAGACATGTGGATGCATGTGTCCATACAGCTATGCTTACACTATGACTAGCACACAGCAAACAGCTGGCAAGGACAGCTGGGAATGGGATACAGGGATATGTGTATTTGCTCAAGGGATTTTTTTTTTTTTTGAGATAGTCTCTCTGTGTAGCCCTGGCTGTCCTGGAACTCACTATGTAGTCCAGGTTTTTTACATGTGTGAGTGTTTTGCCTGAATATATGTTTGTGCACCACAGGAGGTCAGAAAAGAGTGTTAGATTCTCCTGGGGATGGAGTCATAGGAGGTTGTGCTGCCATGTGGGTGCTGGGAACAAATCCAGGTCCTCTGTAAGAGCAGCCAGTGTTCTTTACCACTGAGTCATCTCTCTGGCCCCTCTAATATTTTTAATAGATATTTTATTAATAGGGGCCAGAGAAATGGTTCAGTGGTGAACCACTATCTGAACCAAGAGCACTGCTTGCTCCTCCAGAGGACCCAGGTTCAGCTCCACATCAGGAGGCTCACAGTTGTTTAACTGCAGCTTCCAGGGACTCAGTGTTCTCTTCCTACTTCCAATGGCACCTACACAATATGCCCTTACACATATACACATAACTAAAAGAAACAGTAAGAGCTGAAGAGCTGGCTCCATGGTGGAGAGCACCAGTTCTTCTTCTACAGGACCTGGGTTCATTTCCAAACATCCATTTGACAGCTCACAAGATCGGAGAAAAACCTGTGGGCATTAGTCTTCTCCTTCCAACTACCTGCTGAGCCTCCTCGCTACCCTCATCATCTGACTTTATAGACGTGAAAACAGGGCTGTGGACATAGTATGTTCCAGATCACAAAGTTAGCAAGCAATAAAGCTGAAGCAATAATCCCAGCAGCTGTGTCTAAGCTGTTCTCCCTTTACGTCTCAAGACATGAAAGGACAGAAGAGGAGGACTCTCTGGTGACCAAACACCACACAAACTTCCCTCTAGATGGTCCTGCTACTTTAGCCACAGCGTGCATGGATACTGGCAATCGCTGAACCCCTTGAGAGCCAACTGAGCCATTTCTGGAGAGTCCAAAGCACATGTTCTACTGCAATTTGATCAACAGCATCACTTTGGTACAAATGCTCAACTCAACCCTCATCCCTGACTCCTGCTTCATCCTCAGAGCAGCATGATAACCCCTTCCTGGGCTTCAGGATCTGTAGGAAACCACCGTGCACTGCTCTATCTGGAGCACTGAGGGTCATGTCCACCATGAAGCAACTGCCCTCCCCTGCCAGCGTTGGGAGATATTTGATCACGCTAGGATCCCCGAGTTTGTATTTACATTAATTAAATTAACCTTGGGAGGGGAAACAGGAGGAGAGAACAGAGGGGAACTGTGTTGGTATGTAAAATAAATTAAAAAAAAAGAAAAAAGGCCGGGCGTTGGTGGCACACGCCTTTAATCCCAGCACTTGAGAGGCAGAGGCAGGCGGATTTCTGTGAGTTCGAGGCCAGCCTGGTCTACAGAGCGAGTTCCAGGACAGTCTCCAAAACAATACAGAGAAACCCTGTCTCGAAAAACCAAAAAAAGAAAGAAAGAAAGAAAAAGAAAAAAGATTAACCTTGGGTCAGGAGGCTAAGTTAGCACTAGCTGATAGAAAGTAGCCACAGAGCATCAGAGGGCATCTGAAGAGGTAGAGACACACAGGAAGGAGGAGGGAAGGATTTGGAGTGTTGAGGCTGTTTTTGTTTGGTGGAGCAGAGGGATGCTTTCTTTCAGAAAAGCCAGCAACGAGGGAGGGTTAGCTAGGTGCTACTCAACCTCTCTAAGCTGGCAGTCTTTCACCCCAGCCTTTGAATATCAAGTTCTATTTATAAGTAGAATAGAGATTTACTTAAACCTACCTTTAGCCTCTTGGCAGAGCCAGTACCTGGGGGAACAGAATTCCGACCAGACTGCCACCAGAGAAGCAGGCCAGTAACTGTGGAGTCACAAATACTGGCTCAAATAGCACTAGATTAAGGTGCAGCCACTATGCCAAAAATAAAACATCAACCCAATATGAACAAATAGGTGCCTTTGAATTAGGCATCAGGGCCACTGTTTAACCAAACACCAGGAAAGACCCACAGTGCCCACAAAGACAGTCAGCTGCTTCTTCCCTACCTTCCGAAGCCGATATCCACTGAGGCGCCCCTGCTCTGCATCCACCAAGTAGAAGAAGATGGAAGGGGCAAGTTCATGCAGCTGTCGTAAGACATTCCGAGTTGCTGGAAAAGCCGTGACCTTGAAAAACCCAGATAGCCCAAAAGTGTTAAATGCAAGTTCAGAAACCTTGAAGCCCATTTCTCAAAAGCCATTAGTGCTTGTCCACTAAAGAAAGTTTAAACACAAAACAATGAATCATAAAACAAAACTATTTAAAGCCTAAATGTGGCTCTGTTAAGAACCTCAGTGTTGCTGGGTGGTGGTGGCACACGTCTTTAATCCAGAACTCAGGCAGCAGAGGCATGAGGGTCTCCATGAGCTCCAGGACAGCCATAGCTACACAGAAAAACCCTGTCTCCAAAACAAAAAAAACAAACAAATGAAAGAACTTCAATGTTAAGGGCTGGAGAGTTAGCTCAGTGGTTAAGAGCACGTACTGCTCTTCCAGAGGCCATGAGTTCAATTCTTAGAATGCGTATCAGGTGACTTATAATCACCTATAATTCCAGCTCCAGGGTGATCTGATCCTTCTGGCCTCTATGGATACCTACACTGATGTGCACATACCAAAACATAATTCAATTAAAAAAAAAAACTGGCCAGGTGTAGTGGTGTGCACCTTATGAACCTGGGTGCTCACAAGGGCAGTCATGTTGCTGAGGGTGGCCTGACAACAAACGTGTGCTGTCTAGTACGTGGGCCACCTCTGACAAGTACAAGTCTGATACCCCATCCCATACCCAGCCCCACACAGAAGACTCCATCGCCCCAAGACAACGCACCTTGTATTCATCATCCACCAACAGCAACACCTTGGCGTAGTCTTGATCCATGACTGGGAGAAGCAAGGACTGCAAGATGGGACGCTTCAGCACTGGGGGAGCCACCTGGCTCCACTTGCCAAAAATGGGATTGAAGACAAACAGAGAACTCATTCCTGTTTCCTACAATAGGCAGAAAACAGTCAAATTCAAACACAGAGGGAGCACACATCCCACAGGTGACCCTAGGATGCTGAGGTATCAACTGGACCACAAGGAACTCCCTGCTTTTTACCATGTTAGTAGAAAGTAAACTCTTGGCTGAAGATGACTGGTCCCCTAGGCTGATGTGAAAGGGAAAGACTGGACTGCTTTTCTAGCTAAGAACTGAGCATGATAAAGAGCAAATCAAAATCAACACCAGGCCAAGACAGCAGTGCACGCCTTTAATCCCTACACCTTCAGATCTCCGCAAGTTCCAGGTCAGCTGTGTCTACATAGCTTGTTTCAGGCCAGCCAGGGCTACATAGTGAGACCCTGTCCCAAAAACCAAGTCAAGCATAATTCAGCAATCTCAAGATTGCCAGATCCAAAAGAGGATCTACCAAATCCTGCCTCACAATACAGCTAGAATGGGTCCATGAAAATCCACTCAAATTCTAGAGGCAGAAATCACAACAGCTTTGTGCCCTGTCAGCTCTCACAGAGAGAAAACAGCACTCAGCTATTCGGGAGAGCCTCACTGTGAAGGGAGTGCACTGAGTGAAGGAGGAGCTAGTCCCTAGCCAGTTCCACCAGAGCTGGGTGGTCCCTCCAACCAGGCCAGAAAACGGCAGAAACAAGACTTCCAACCCAAGAGCTTCTCATGGAATGCCCAAGGCATGGCAGAAATTTCAACTGTGAAACATGCACACTTTGCGGCTCAGTATGCCTGGCCTCACCTTGTCCTTCACCAGCAGCGTGCACTGAGGGGGGTGGGGAAAATGAGCAGTAGTCCTCTGGACCATCAGCTTAAAGGAGGAGTCAGGCTTAACGTTGGGCAGATACTGCTTCCACAGGATAGTGCCAGAGCTGCTCTCGATGCCAAAGAGCTGCAAGATAAACAAACATTTGACTCACAACCTGAAAGAAACTGAAGAATTGATTCTATTCTTGTAGACTGGAACAAAGTAAGCCTGCGCCTGCACCTGTGCCTGCACCTGAGGTTTGCTTCCTAGGGCTCACATGCTCACCTTGCCTGAGGCTGTTACCATCACCATCATCTTCTGCAGGTTGAACTCATCTCTGGCCAATGTGTCAATGTTGATCTCATTCTTAATCTGGCTCCGGGGCTTCCGAGCATCGTAGAACATTTTCCAGAGGTGGGAAGTCCAGGCCTGGAGCAGGATAAGCTGAGATGACAGGCGTTTCAGGAACATCCCCAGCAAGCCATCTGGTGGGGGGGGGGGGAGAAAGGCACGCCCATCAGACAAGGAGTCCAGCAAGAAGGTACCTGTGCTCTCCCAGGAGGGACTTCTCCCTCTTCTGTAGAACCTTCCAGTCATTCACACTCCAGGCCATAAGTTTAAGGGGCAGTCTGGGTAAGATGCCAGCAGTCACACACAGCCATGCACAAGCTTCCAAAACCTCCTTACCTGGCTCTTAGAACTTCACCTACCCAGAATCTTGTAATAGGAGACTAAAAGGTAAGGAATCAGCCATGCAGGATGCAGCCATGCTGGGATGACCAGAGGAAGGCATCTAGGTACCACAGCAAAGCCAGAGAAATGTGGGTCTCAGGTGCAGTGGGAGCAGGTGTATGCATAAATGGTGCTCCTATCTCCCATTGCTTCATTCTACTTTGTTAACCTGCTCCCAGCATCACTTCCTGCAACCTATTCCTAAGGTTATCATTTCCCCTTGCCCCTGACTCCAAGGGTGAGTCATCACCCTGAAAAGTGTCCTCCATTAGAGATATGACAGGTGCATGATACCATGGAAAGGAGGAGGGTCTTGGGAGTCTCACAAACCTGAAATAAAATCCAGGCTCTAACCCCTACTGCTGTGTGACCCTGAGAAATGTGCCTTTGGTCCCTCATCTATTAAATGGCATGCAACTCAGAAGCCTGTTACAAAGAACAGATCCTATGACATCCACTCGGGATTGGGTATGGTGCCTGGTGCGTGCAAAGTGCTCATTAAGAGTATTTATCTTTAGCCAGGCAGTGGCACGCCTTTAATCACAGCCCTCGGGAGGCAGAAGCAGGTGGATCTCTGTGAGTATTATCACCTCTTTTCCACCAACCTCAACTCAGAGATGCAGAGAAGCAAGTCACAAGCAGAGCAGTCCACACATGTGTGTCTCACTGATGCAAGTCAGAAAAACAATTAACCAAAGTAGTCATGTGGACAAGCAAGGCGCAATGGGCAGAAAAAAGCAGGATTTACCTTGAATCGCTGGGTCCAGCAGCAGAAATAGATAGTAAAGTCAAATTAATTCTCAGCTTAAGAAAACATACAACACCTAGTACCATACCTGACCCAGAAGCCCTTAACAGCAACCTACTAGATAGCTGGCTGAATGGACTGGGGGACCGGGAGGTGGGGGAGCAGGATCGACTGGGGAGGAATGAATCATGCTCATCAGATGGCCATCAGTGGAGCCATTCTGACTCAGGGAGCACAGGGTTATATCCAGTCAGGTTTCTTTAGGCACATGTAGCTATTGCATTTGAGACAATGGATGGAAGTGCCTGATATGGAGCCTGACAATTTTTAGGTCCCCAGGCAATGACACTTTCAACTAACTACAGAGTAAAGACATTTTTGTCTCAGGATCATTCACCATAGGGACTAAGCGAAATTGTAGCTGCATAAACCACCAGGCTACTGATGCACTGAAAACGAGTCATGGGACTCCTTCAAAACATCTGGCTGAACCAGAAACCAGGGGCACAATGAGGTCCATAAACCCAGCTAACCCTCCCTCGAGCAGCCTCCCTGGGTTCATACCTGCCTTCTTGCCAAATTCTCCTTCCAGTTCAGCCTGTGCCCCAGTCAGGGGGAGGTCCACCATCTCCAGGCACACCACTTCTGCCAGGGACTCCTCTCGGCTCCATAATACCACCTTCCCAGCTACAGGAAATCAGTTTGCAAAAGCTCAGCCTGGCTCTCTAGCCCTGAGGAGACTCTTAGAGATGGCTGAGTTCGAGGCTTATGTAAAAGATCTCATGAGGCTGGGGTCAATAGTCAAGTGAGGAAGTTTTATATCTCACTCACTGCCCCTAAGGAACTGAGAAAATTCTCTGGGTACACTCTGCTTGAACCTTTCCCAAGGCTGTGCACAACCCCCTACCCACCTCTACCACACATGACTGGAATTCAGAGCATGCAGAAACACAAATGAGTATAGGAGGCACTCACCTAGCTGCTGCAGGAACAGCTGCAGATGGTCCTGTGTCTGCACCAAGGCCCGGTAGCCCACTGAGTCATCCTTCTTCAAGAACACCTGGATGTACAGCTATAAGCCAGACAATAAAATGCCAAATGGCTCCAAGGCATTGGACCCCAAAATTCAAAGGGTTGGGAGTTGGCTGAAGTCCAACTCATGGCATGATGTGAAGTCTAGACAACACAGTGACCATCTGGACACCAGCAAGAAAGCACACATTCTTCAGAGCCTCCACTGCAATGAGCTGAGGCTCTCTGATCTGTCCGTGAAGGGTGGCAAGTACTTGATGGGACTGTCGTCCCTTCATGCCCCAGTTGTACCCCACAAGGTGAGCAGGAGGCCAGGCCAGGACCATCCCAGACACTGAGGGACACAATTCAATGTCCCCAGAAGAGCACTGGGTAAGACGATGAGTATATAAAAGGAGTCAACCTGGAGTCATGAATTCCAGCAACATGTCTTGCTAACTCCATAACTCAAAATGCCCTGGGCCATGGGCACATTCACAAACCAGGTCAGTAACAATCCACAAGACTGCCAAGATGCCCTATGGATTAACATATAAACAAAAAGGGCCTCAAGCATACCAACAGCAATAGAGCTGGAGGGTCAGAGAACATACTGTTCTTGCAGAGAGCTCAGGTTCGATTCCTAGCACCCACATGGCAGCTCACAACTATAACTCCAATACCAGGGGATCAAATGTTCCATGTACTCATGTGGTGCACATGCATACATGCAAGCAAAACACTCATACACATAATAAATAAATCTAAAGCAACAACAGCAACAGCAGCTTTGCTCTTATCTATAACTAGGCAGGAGCTCTGGAGGAACTAGGAGCCTTGTTCTGAAAGCCCTAATCCAGGGGGACAGCTGTTGCCCAGCGCCAAGGACACGAAGTTCACAGGACAGAGTGAGAGGGTCAAGGCTGTCTGTCTCTTACCCGCTCAGGACGAGTGCCCTTTTGCTCCAGGCTGAAGGAAATCGCAGTGTCTAGCAGTCTCCTACCTGTCTCCACTAAGTAGAGGTTAATGGTGTAGGTTTGGTTGAAGCAAGCCAGAGAATCCTAGAGGTACAAACAGCACAGGTCAAAAATAAAGTTCCCTATAGTGTGTCCAGGGACAGTGTAAATCCCTAGAAAAGGGAAGAGGACAGAAGAGAAATGTGCATAAGAAAGGAAGAAAGTAAAGAGAGCCAAATGCTATGGCAGAAACAAGGTTGCTGGCTGAATAAACAAGATCACGACAGTGTGCAACCCAGAAGGGAGCCAGAACGCAGGGGTGGCAGCACACAGATTTAATCACAATACTCAAAACAGAGGCAGGACGATCTCTGAAACTGAGGCTAACCTAATCTACAAAGTGAGTTCTAAGACAACCAGGGCTACACAGAGAAACACTATCCCAAAAGACAAAAAAACAAGAAAGCCAGCTTTATACAACTACTATGTAAGTTTGAGAAGGCAGCCCGTGTGTATAACTACCATGCACATCTCAGAAGTCAGCCCGTGTGTATAACTACCATGCACATCTCAGAAGTCAGCCCGTGTGTATAACTACCATGCACATGTCAGAAGGCAGCCCGTGTGTATAACTACCATGTACATGTCAGAAGGCAGCCCGTTTGTATAACTACCGTGCACATCTCAGATGTCAGTCCGTGTGTATAACTACCATGTACATGTCAGAAGGCAGCCCGTGTGTATAACTACCATGCACATCTCAGAAGTCAGCCCGTGTGTATAACTACCATGTACATGTCAGAAGGCAGCCCGTGTGTATAACTACCATGTACATGTCAGAAGGCAGCCCGTGTGTATAACTACCATGCACATCTCAGATGTCAGCCCGTGTGTATAACTACCATGTACATGTCAGAAGTCAGCCCGTGTGTATAACTACCATGTACATCTCAGAAGTCAGCCTGTGTGTATAACTGCCATGCATGTACATGTCAGAAGTCAGCCCGTGTGTATAACTACCATGTACATCTCAGAAGTCAGCCTGTGTGTATAACTGCCATGTACATGTCAGAAGGCAGTCATGTGCAGGGAGGCAGAGAGTTCCCAGATTGGCCTTGACTGTGGACGAGGAAAGAAGGAAAAAGCTCTATGAGGCCACAACCAAGACCTGAGCCTCCTGTCAGGACCCCTCACTGCCACCAAGTGCACTGCAGAAGGCCCCTGGCTCTGCCAGCTTTGGAGACCCCAGAGGAATGCGGAAGTCAAGGTTCAGAAAGGAAATAAGGAAGGACAGATCCCAGGAGTCTACCTCCCCATCTTGCTAAGAGAAAGGACAAGATATGCCACTTAACTGACAGAACCTGAAGCCAGGAACTCAAGGGGACCTGCTAGCCTCAGTTGATATTGGCTTCTTTGGGTGGCCTCCTGGGTCTCCAGATCTGCAACACCACCCAGTAACCACCCTGCCCGCTCAATGTCACACCCTACCTGTGCCCTAGATGTCTCAGGAAAGCTCGCCATACTCCCATCCCCAGCATTACCAGGTTTTTGCTAGAGGAAAGAGACAAGAACACTTAGCCAAAGGGTCACCTCCCAGACACTTGTCTCCTCAGCACAGTCAGAAGGCAGATCTTACCTCTCATGCCCCACCTCTACAAGCCTATGAGCCCTTAAAGTCTTCAGTGAGGGCAGGGTAGCCACACTGGGACCCCATTCCTACTGAGGAGGAGACTGTGTGGAAAGAGAACTCATCTTTCTGCAGCCTCCTATCCATGAAAAGGTAGATGTTCCCCAACTTCTGACTGTAAGGGTTCCCAGCAGAGACAACGAAGCCCCGCGTGCTAACTGTCACACACGGTACTCACTTCAGTACGACAGGTCATGACTGCAGCCACTGTCTTCTCTCCAGTGGTGGCAAAGCTCACAAGAGTGGCCTGTAATGAATGTTAGACATCAGCCCAGACAACGGGATTTAAGGCAAATGTGTCTGGATTCAAAGTTCTGCCTCCTCCCAGCTTTGTCCTGGGAGACCTCTGGTCCTAGCAAGTGCACTGCCTGCAGTTACCTGGGGGAAGTTTTTGAGCAGAGTCACAGCACCGTGGTGGTAGTGCAGCAGAGCGTAGTGGCCCGGGGACAACTGTAGGAAGAACTGGGCCCGAGAAGGAGCCACTGGGCTGGGCTGTGTGGGCAGCACTCGGGGCTGGAATCCACTTCCAAATTCTAAGTCAGGAGACTGGGGGGGAGGTGGGGGGAAGAAAGGTGAGATGCTTACTCACTCCCACACCATCACACCAGGACCCTCTGCATGCTTTGCCAGGGAGCAGTACTAAACTACGGCAGACGGCTCCAGAAGCTCCTGTTACCCAAAGGAGACTATGGTCTGTACCCTGACAACAGCTCAGACGAAGGCCTAAGCTCTCCCCATGGCTGTCACAGCTCAGAAAAGCAACAGCAACACCATAGAGCAGTCATGCCAGCTCCCTATGCCCCACAGGTGACAACATCTCAGACCAGGAAAGCAGCCTCTCACCTGCAGGGGGATCTGCCGCAGTTCCCACTCCGTCTCCAGAGCCAAAGTGTGGAGGGAACGGGAGTTGGCATCAGGGCATACCAGGACAGCCTCGTCAACCACACCACAGGCCCCAGCGAGATGCTGCAGCCATGGAGTCCAAACCCTAACCTGCAGAGAGATTTCACAACAGACTCATGAAGAGAATCATGGTCCCTCTCAGCAAATCAACAGAATTGCTGCTGGAATCCCATGAGGATCCCAAGCTCAAAACCAGGAGGTGGTGATGATCCACACCTTTAATCTCAGCACTTGGGAGGCAGAGGCACACGAATTTCTGTGAATTGGAAGACAGCCTGATTTAACAGTGAATTCCAGGACAGCAAAGGCTACATAGGACCTATCTCAAAAGAAAAGAAAGGAAGGAAAGAAGAAAAGGGAGGGAAGGAGGGAGGGAAGGAGGGAGGAAGAGAGAGAGAGAGACAGAGACAGAGACAGAGACAGAGAGAGAAGGAAGGAAGGACAGAAAGAAAGAAAGAAAGAAAGAAAGAAAGAAAGAAAGAAAGAAAGAAAGAAAGAAAGAAAGAAAGAAAGAAAGAAGAAAAGCACGTCTGGTTCCACAGAGGCTCTTCTTGTCCTCACCCACCTCTATTATCAACCTCCAAACCAGAAGTACTTAGGAGTTTCTTTTTGGTCACTGGAAAAATGCACCAATACAGTAAATGCCTGATGGTTTGGAGGGGCATCAGATGTGGCTTCCTGTAATCTTTTCATATTCACCTTAAAAGATCTTAAAGTGACAGTACTAGATCCTCAGAGTAGCTTCCCAGCCAGCCCAGAGGAGGACTGTGTGTTAACAGAGTGCTTTACACACCTGCTGAAGATGAACCAGGAGCAGGAGACAAGCATCAGGGACACAAGCAGCTTTGCAGAACACAAGAGCACCCCCCCCCTCCACCTCCTGTGCAGAGAAGGCCTCTACCAGCTCTTTCCCACCCACCAGGGCCAGGCACCCTCTGTACCTGCTGAACAACCTCTCCATCCTCCACGTTAAACTTGACGACATTCACATGGCTGAAGGGAGCAATGCCAAGGGCCCACACCACCCCGGAGCCGTAGGAATACACCATCTGGTAGTGGATGCTGTCACTAAGAAAGGGAAGACATGACAGGGCCACTGACTTAGCCCTTAGACTTGAGCTTTCCCAGGGGCTTCCAAAACCAAGCTGCCATTTCCTAGTGAGATGTCACGAGCTGAAAACCTCCAAATCGAGCTTGTGTGGCTCACATAGCCTTTGTTTTCAGGTGTCTTGCTGTTGTTGTTTGCAGGGCTAGGGATTAAACCCAGAGCCTCACTAATGCTAGGCACCAGCCCCATCCCTAACCTTGGGTTTGTCTTTAATTTGAATTTCTCATCAACATTTCAAACTGATTATCACATATACAAGCCAGATTGCCAGTTTTTTCTAAGTGACAAATGTGACATGCCTACATGTATTTGGGGCACTACACCAGTTGTCTGACTAAGGCTGTAGAGGGAGGTAGGCCAGATACACTGTGGTTCCCCTACTGTAGGCTCCATCAGGTATGCCAGCCTCATGGATGTTTTGTACCTCTAGGATATTTTGAGCTTTGCGGGGGTTTGTTTTCTTTCTTGCACCACCACCATGTTCAGCTAGGAATTTGGATTTTTTGGAGGGGGCAAGGCTAAGAATCAAATGTACATGTCAGGTAGGCTCTAACCACTGGTCTGGTTCATATCTCCACCTTAACTTTAGCAATTTGACTTTTGGGCCCTGTTTCTTGCAAATAGTTGCAAGTGGCAGTCAACCCTTGCCTGACCTTCTAGCTACCCTGTTCCTTCCTAGCTTTCATGCTTCCCCCAGGACTTCTGGAAACCACTTTGAGCCTCCCTCAGCCCCTGCCTGTCATTCTGAGTCTTATCATGAAGAAAGCTTCAGAATAATGGGAGGGAGCAGTTGAAAGGCCCAGAGCACTGTGTGCATGAGCAGGCGCAGTTTCCTTATGTGGCAGCTCTAATGCCCCAGTCTGAATTTTCTCCACCATACCAAGTACACTCCAAGTAGCCTCAGCCTTTCCACTCAAGCTCACACGCAGAAGTAGACTACTCCCATGTGATGCCAACAGGAGGGCATCTGGCCAAGCAGCCTCAAGGAGATGGAGAGTGTTGTGGGGACTAGGACAAGATAGTCGTCACTTGGAAGGAGACTGCCTTACCTTTCTGGAAGATGTTCCACCCACTTCAGGTGCCCACTGGAGAGGTGATGGAGGGTGAGAGTCGTCTTCTTCAGAACTGCAATGTACCTCACTGACTCCTGCAGGCCCACCAGCCCAAGTGCCTGGAAACTGAGCACAGGTATGAGTGAGGGCCTTCAGCTAGAATGGCTGGCCCCACTACTGTCGTTGCTGCTTGCTGGGTCAGAAAACAAATACACCTGGATGCCAATGCTGGCTCTGCCTAATCCTGCCTCTACCAACTTGAGAATCTGCCTAAGGACCACTTAGGCACACTGCCTTTAAGCCTCCAAATCTCCTATGAGTTACCTTTTCCTTCCCCTGGGATTTCATGGGACTCAGGCCAACCCTCTAGCAAGCCCCCATCATTGTCAGGGTTATGACTATGCTATCATTGTTAGGCTTATGACTATGTCCACTACTGGGCAAGAACTTGACAGCTGTCTCACATTCACAGTGTTCTCATTGCCTTGGGTCCACCAAATGCTAGAAACCAAGTGAACTGCTATTGTAAGATGCATACACTAAAGCCAATAGGCATACAGATTAATCTCAGCAAAGATGGGGCAGTGGTCCAAGCTGTTCTATAACAGACAACTAAAATATGGAGTGTCAAGCACAGTGATACAGCTCTAAACCCCAGCCCTTGCCAGGTAGAGGCAGGAGTGTCAGAAGTTTAAGGCCAGGGCTGTCAAGATGGCTTGGCAGGTAAAGGAACTTGCTGAGCAAGGCTGAAAACCCAAGTTCAATCCCCAGAACCCACTTAAAGATAGAAAGAGAGAACTGACTCTGTGAAGCACATACCACCCCGCACACAGACAGACAGGCACCAAGGTCAGTCTCATCTACATAGCTACATGAGACCTGTCTCAAAGCAAACAAACATAAGGAACATGGAAAGTTTTGTATTATGTTTTTCTACCTAGAACACAGCACTCAAAGCTCATATATTATGGTAAGATTGGGACAGTGTTTATGAACAAAATAAACACTGTACCCACTACATAGCTGTTCGTCTAATAGGTGCTCAATTAACAAAATCCACCCAATTCATGGAAAACTTCATTTGCTCAGTAAATAAATGTGTGTGTGTGTGTGTGTGTGTTATAACAAGCAAATCAAGAATGGGCACCTACCTCCAAAGCCACAGAGAAACCCTGTCTCGAAAAAAAAAAAAAAAAAAGAACGGGCACCTACACCAGATATGGTGGCACACAAATTCTAGCACTCACAAGGAAAAGGAAGAGGAATCTCTCAGAGTTCAAGCCTACCATGGTCTACATATTTCCAGGATAGCCAGAGCTATGTAGAGAGAATCTGTTAAAAAAAAAAAATAGGGGAGAGGGCATCTGGGGCTAGAGAGATGGCTCAGTGGTTAAGAGCACTGGCTACTCTTCCAAAGTACTTGAGTTCAATTCTTAGCACCCACATGGTGGCTGGCAACCATCTGGTAACCCAGTGTAAGGGAATCCAACACCCTCTTTTGGCTTCCAAAGGGACTGCACTCACACAAACAGGCAAAACACCCATACACATAAGAAAAAAATTTTTGAAACAAGAGGCATCTGATGTGCTGTGACTCTTCAGTGGTCCCTGAGGAAAGGGTGGGGGGAAGCCCAAAGGCCCAGAGTTGTTGTCCATGCAGATCCCCTCACTCAGCCACAATCACAATGAAGCACCGCTTGTTCCCTACCTGCCACTGTCCAGAGTTGTCTCCCAGTTCAGGCCCCCGATGTTAGTCTCCCAAGAACGCATGATTCGCCCTCCATTGGATACAGTAATTGCATCTGGTAGAGACAAAGCCCACTGTCATTCCCCACACTTGCTCTGTTGCCTCATAAGAGCTATGGACTATGACCCCCACCTCCAGCAAGAACCTGCCCTTCACTGGCAAAAGCATCCCCTCTCCCTTCCCCATCAGAGTCTATACAAAGCAAAGAACCAAGCAATGGCAGATGGCACTGATCCCAAATGGAGACCAGGGGGCCTCTGCTTACCTTGTCCATGAACCAACATGGCATCCACAGCCCCTTCTGCTGTGCCCTTGTCAACATGGCGCCACACTGAGAGATAAGAGAGTCAGATGTTGCTGTCACTGTAACCCAATGAGACTAGAAAGGGGCTGTGGTCTTCATTTACATAGCATTATCCAACTTTAATTAGGAAGCAAGGAGTACACTAAGTGCTATGAGCTAGACCCACTTGCTGAAGAGTAACGGAGGAGGGTTCAAGAGGTACTGTTTTTCCCATCTGGGCTCTCTGCCCCTCCAGTCCACTACCACCCCATGAAACATACGAAGGAACGACAAGATTAACAAAATCTGGTTGGAGAGATAGCTCAGTGGTTAAGAGTACAGGCTACTCTTCCAGAATACCCTGTCCAATTCCCAACACTCACATGGTAGCTAGCAACTGTCTATATCCCCAGTTCCAGAGGATCCAACATCCTCAAAACAACAAATGTGTAGGTCAAACACCAATGCACATAAAATAAATTTTTTTAAAAAATCAAAGAATTAACAAAATCTATGCAATTCATAATTATGAAATCTCTTTTCACAACCTAAATTCCTACAAGCAATCCGAGCAGCAGGGATGACTCAAGGGTAATCATCCAAGCCATTACTGCAAAACAGGATAGAAAGCAGTTTTTGCAGTGTTATCTTAGTTAAGGACCTTCAGGATTGAGGACATTACAACGGCCAGTGACACAAATATACATATTGAAAGATGACAAGACTAGAGAAGACAAACAAGACGGTAAGCCATAGGTTACTCGGGTTCACTTCAGTCAGCTCCCCTCCCGTCTCCACAGCTCACTCACAGATCTCTCCAGTACGAGAATTTAATGCTGCAATCACATTCTTCTCTGTGGCCACGACCAACTTCTTGGATCCAGGGGAAAATTCTAAGGAGGCAAACTTCAGCTTCCCAACATACTGCTGTCTCCTGAGGAAGAGTGCACAACATCAGGGCAAAGTCATCACCACTAAAGGGACAAATTGCTGGGTTCACACCAGCACTTCTCCTTCATCCCATGCAAGAAACGTGTGCTCTGACCATACTCAAGATTTCTGTGCAATACACTCAGAAGCAAAAGGAGATAGGAGAGAACTACCACCAAAGAGAGGACAGACAGTAACAGTCTTACAGCTAAATGGAACATCTATTTTTCAAGCAACATCTCAAAGAGCCTAATTAACTTTTAGCTGCACCATAATGACTTCCAGGTACATATGCTACAATGAGGAAATACTGCTATCTGGACACACTAAACAAACATGGCATTCAAACTGCATCGCTCATTTAGACCACTGTGTTGTTTGTTGTTTTGTTTGTTTGTTTGGGGGATAGGAAGGGGTTATGGCTTTTTTTTTAAGACAGGGTTTCTTTGTGTAGCTTTGTAGACCAGGCTGGCCTAGAACTCACAGAGATCCACCTGCCTCTGTCTCCTGAGTGCTGTGCCACCACTGCCCAGGCTAGTCTAGCTAGTTTTAAAGGAGCTAAATTGGTAGTCGAGTCAAGTTTAGACTCAGTAATTTCTTATGTGCGGTTTCTTTTTTAAATACAATTTATTAATTTTTATTTTGTATGTATTGTTTTTTTGCCTATATGTATGCCTATGTGATGATGTCAGATCTTGGAGTTACAGACAGTTGCTAACGGCCATGTGGGTGCTGGGAATTGAACCCAGGTCTTCTAGAAGAGTAGTGCTCTTAACCATTGAGCTATCTCTCTAGCCCCCTCTATGAGTTTTCACATGACTTTATTCTCTGTGTAGCCACCAAACAACCCTACCAAGTGTGTGTGTAAGGCAAATGCTATTGCCTTCATTTCACAGATGAGGAAACCAAAATCCAGAAAGTCCAGGGTTCCAAAATAAAACCTTTTAAAAATACTATTATTCAACTGTATGTCAACTGTCCCAGGAGCATGCAACAGTTAAGCAGCCAAATATTCATTGAAACTGAAGGAAGAAGTAAGCGAATGAATGTCTGGATGATAAGTTTGGAGAGGACACTGTGCCCAGAGTGTCCCTCAAAGGGAGGGGTAGAGACAGAGAGAGAGGAGACAGAGAGAGACAGACAGACACCACACACACACACACACACACACACACAGATACTTAGAACTTTAGGAGGTGTGTGTGTGTGTGTGTGTGTGTGTGAGAGAGAGAGAGAGAGAGAGAGAGAGAGAGAGAGAGAGAGAGAGAGACTTAGAACTTAGAGAGAGAGAGAGAGAGAGAGAGAGAGAGAGAGAGAGAGAGAGAGAGAGACTTAGAACTTTAGAACCTGTAAGACAGGAGGGCTAAGAGACGGCAGCTAGTTCCTTCACTGGTTCACTGGAGATCACAAACCTGACAGCCACAAAATCGGATATGACAAGAAAGGAGGGAATCAGTGACCTCTGACCCTAACGCTAAAGCATGGCTGGATGGCAGGGCTGGCCCCACTAAAGTGCCATCTGCAGGGTCACATACGGGTCGGCAAGAGCCCTAGGTGCTTAACTTAATAGTCTCGGATCGACGTCTTCAAATTCTTCGTATCTGTAGAAGGGACGCTCAGGTTTCCATTCTGCACAGGGTGCAGCATTCATTCATTCATTTACCTCTCCCGTAAAGGCCCGGCTGTAAGTTATAAACTGGGTCCTGCTCCATGGCAATCTCCTTCCTGCTACCAGAGGGAGACAGGTGTTGGGAAAGCAGACACCTACTTCCTGGAGAAGCGTCACCCATACGCACCAGTCAAACTTGCCCACTTGATCTTCGTAGACTGCGGCCGCAGGGAGAAGCAGCGTAGCCAAGAGCCAGAACCCGAACGCCACAGCGGCCACCATGATTGAAGGGCAAGCGCCGCCCGCAGCCATCCCAGCATGCACTGGGCCTCAAGCCCCGCCCAGCGGTGAACCATAGAGAGGAGGCGGTGCGCTAGGCACTTGGAGCGCTCAGGGCTCGGGAGCCGCCGGGATTGGAGGGACTGGAGAGATCTGGAACCTGGGCCGAGAAGTTCCCTTCCAGGCACCGGGCTGAGTGCAAACGGGAAGAGCCAGCCCGCATCAGTTCAAGTCAGGCACACGCGAGGGGCAGCCCCGAGCACCTTCCCAGAAGGCCCTGCGCCGCCCGGGTCCTGACGGCCCGTCTGGTCTTCCGCCGCACGTGTCTTCGGAGCGATGCCGAAATCCAAGCGAGACAAGAAAGGTGGGCTCGGGGGACCTCGGTCTTGGGGGGCAACGGGGACACGGGTGAGACGCCGAGGAGATCCGGCGGCCAGGGAGGCGGGTTAGCATCGGAAAGTCACCGGGAGAGCTCCAGTCTTGGCCGGACCGACAGGCAGCTCCCGAGGCAGAATCTTGTATCCCAGGCTCGCCTCGAACTCGCCAGCAAGGATCGTCTTAGACTGCTGATCCTACTTTACGATTATTGGGATTACAGGCATGCACCAGTAAACCTGAACTATGCTGAGCTAGTCTTGGCAAGCACTACCAGCTGAGCACTGAGCTACATCCCCTGCCGCGCGTGTGCGTGTTTGAGACAGGATCTTACGGTGCAGCTCGCACTTACTGTGTACACCAGGCTACCTCATCCTCTCCGGAATGTAGGGGTTTTACAGGCATGCATCAGCGTACCTGGTTGTGGCTACTGCATTTTTTTTTTTGTTTTGTGTTTTTGTTTTTTTTTTTTTTTTAATGCTGGGGCCTTGAACTCTCCATCTTCTGCCTTGGCCCCAAATTCCAAACGGGGCCTTTGGACTGGCACTTTGGTGGGTATTAGAAAACAAGACAGCTAGCCGGGCGTTGGTGGCGCACGCCTTTAATCCCAGCACTCGGGAGGCAGAGACGGGTGGATCTCTGTGAGTTCGAGGCCAGCCTGGTCTACAAAGCGAGTTCCAGGACAGCTTCCAAGACAATACAGAGAAACCCTGTCTCGAAAAGCCAAAAAAACAAAACAAAAAAAAAAGAAAGAAAGAAAAAGAAAACCTGTTTAGTCAGTTTGGGGGGGGGGGGGTGTCTCAGTGGTGAGATGGCAAACCAAAAACCTGGAGAAAGGAAAGCAAGCGACCTGTACAGTTGTCTGAGAGAAGGTTGTTCTGAATAGAGAGACACAAAGTGAAAGGGGCCTGTGCTTGTCAAGGTGGCTGTAGTAAAGAGGATAAACAGGATTGAGGGGAAAGGATCTGATCTCTGGTGTGCCTTTACTTCTGGCTGTGTTGTTGGCCTGGAGACTATGAGGGCAGAGATGGAAGCATTAAGGCCAGTAGCCCCCTGGAGAACGCTGAGTTGAACCAGAATCCTAGCAGTGGAGAGTCTGGGAATGGCTGGTTCCATGTAGTTGTAAAGAGGGACTGAGCGGCAGGGCAGGGTAGATAAAAGGCCATGTCACCTGCTGGAGACACGCAGGGCTTTGTAGCTGAAGTTCTGGTATGTCCTTAGGAAGTCATTTGGTTTTGTGGAGGGAGCCCTGCTCAGACTTAGCAAATGCCAGGAGCTCTTTGGAAGGGGGACAAACTGGGCCTCAGTTACTTACTGGTAGAGGTTCTTGTGCCCCACCCCATCCCCACCATTGTGTCCTTGGGTGCAGATGCAGTCAACCCAAGGCACTAAGGGCAGATGGTTTGTGTTAGGAGGTGTGTTTGGGGACTTCTGGGTCCAGGAATGTTAGATAAGCAAGCCCTCTCCCAGCCTTGAATGCCAGAAATAACAGGGTCCATTGCCGCTTCCTTCACACTGGCTGAGTTCAGCCACACCTCCAAAGAAGGACGCAAAATTAATCTCTAAAGCATCCAGGTTCTTCACTCACCATCACCTCCTTTTCTTGATGTAGTTTCCTTGACAAAAACTGCCAAGAAAGGCTTGGAACTGAAGCAGAACCTGATAGAAGAGGTAAGCGCTTACTTACACTTTTACTTTTCTAGTGTGTGTTTGCTTGATAGGGTTGGGGTAGGACTGTTAGCAGTGTTTTAAAATCAGTAGCCGCAGAATTTCCCATCCAACCCCCCCTTTCTGCCACAGCTGCCGTTAAAACTGTTGGTGGTGGTGCCCACCTTTAATCCCAGCACTCGGGAGGCAGAGGCAAGCAGATCTCTTCGAGTTTGAGACCAGCCTGGTCTACAAGAGCTAGTTCCAGGACAGCCTCCAAAGCCACACAGAAACCCTGTCTTTGGGGGAGGGGGACCTGCCGTTCACGGTTTAAGCTCTGTGTACCTCCCACATCAGTAAATGCAATTTCCACAAAACCCTCCACCCCATCCCTGAAGCATCCCTGTGTCCCAGGACCAGGCAGTGCTTTGCTGTATTGTTCTCTGGGTAACGGAAGCTTATTAGTGCATTTGTAATGCTGCCCACTGTCAGAAGGCTGGAAGTCACCGGTATAGTGACTGTGGCCGTCCATCTGCAACTGACTTGCTAGCCCTATGCTGAGGTCCAGGGCAGTCCAGTCTCCTGGTGCATAAATTACCTGGAAGTGGAGCTTCACCACAGAGAAACTGCAGCCTGGGCAGGGCAGAGTGGATGAGGTGTCTCTCCTTGTTTATCAAAACAGTGAGGCTCCTTGTGATTTGACTTAGCAGGGGCCTTTGCACAGTAGGCATACACTTCTAGAATAACTGTAAGTACACAAAGGAAAACATTGGTCATGGAAGAACATGTGGTATGCTCACCTTCTCCTGTGGTGGGTGACCTTGTTGTCAGTCATGTTGGTAAATGACCAGATTAAAGGCCTATAAGTGATTCTCTAGCATGAGGCCAGAGTTGCTCGACCCATGCTGCCCCTTCAGCTCCAGAACCTCATGAATTGTCCCACAGCTTCGGAAATGTGTGGACACATACAAGTACCTCTTCATCTTTTCTGTGGCCAACATGAGGAACAGCAAGCTGAAGGACATCAGGAATGCCTGGAAGCATAGCCGGTGAGCAGGCACTGGGAGGAGGACACGCCCCCGGGCGCGCACACACACACACACACACACCCGCGCTGGGCTGCCCCGCCCCATCACAGCACAGTAGCACGGCTGACCCTTTGGGTCTGCAGCTCACTTGATGGAGGGCACCATTTATGTTAGAGATGGGCTTTCCCTGAGCTGCCGGGCGACAGGATTTGGTGGTCCCTAGGGATATTTGACTACAATGTCATTATGTGCATCCACAGGCTGGCCCCAAAGCAGATGGGTGGCAGTACTTGGGTGGGTGGTTCGGGAGTCAGTCTACCAGCTCTACTAAGCACTGTTACACATGGCTCTCCCAACAGCAAGACATGATGGATGGTCTGTGATGCTTGCAGTGAGCTGACTCAAACTGTTAGCAAGGATAAAAACAAGAATCCTGGGGACACGTGGTGGGTGGCCCAGTGGGCAGATCCTCTGGCAAAATCTGATTCTGGGCTCCATGGACTCCTAGGGACTGGCTCACGCTCCCTTTCTCCACAGGATGTTCTTTGGCAAAAACAAGGTGATGATGGTGGCCTTAGGTCGAAGCCCATCTGACGAATACAAAGACAACCTGCATCAGGTAGGTCACTGGCCCTCTCTGAGTGGGGCTCAAGCTCTGCTGCCTCCTCTGCTGCTCTTCCCCTTTGCTATGTAACTCTGTGGGTCCAGGACAGCTGCGCTCAGCGTAAATCTGTGTGAATCTGCAGACCCGTGGGGTTCTTCCCCTTCTGTCCTTCTCTCCTGCCTTCTAGGAGTTCTGCTAACCAGGAAAGGTGTTACATGATAACCCGGTGTCCCCTGTGCAGAAAGGGGCCCTTAGTGAAGGAGCAGTGATAGCCACTTTCATTTTTCAGGTCAGCAAGAAGTTGAGAGGTGAAGTTGGGCTCCTTTTTACCAACCGCACGAAGGAGGAGGTGAACGAGTGAGTGTCTCTGAGGGATGCAGAGAGAAGTTGGGGGTCAGGGAAAGATGAAAAGGCCGTCCCGGTGGTAACATCCAGTTGGGGTTAGCTCCTGGAAGCCTCTGACTAACACTGGGGTTCTGTAACCAGGGTTGTCTCATTCTCTCTGGCATAGTCCTCCCCGCTGGCTGCAGGTCCACAGCCAAGATGGACAAGGGCAGGAGGCCCCACATCTCTGGCACTCAAAGGAGGGCCAGACTTCACCCAAATGGTGTCACAGGAGGGAACTTTTCCCCACACCCTTCTCCTCCTCAGGTGGTTCACAAAGTATACAGAAATGGATTTTGCTCGAGCTGGGAACAAAGCGACTCTAACCGTGAGCCTGGATCCAGGGCCCCTGAAGCAGTTCCCTCACTCCATGGAGCCACAGCTGAGGCAGCTGGGCCTGCCCACTGCCCTCAAGAAAGGTGGTTGAGTGGGTGGGGAGGTGCTTAGGGCTAAGAGGAGTGGCTGCTGCTCCACAGGCACCAGCTATTCGCGTGGTACCACAGTCATACATGCAGGCAAAACAGCCCTCCACACTTAGAGAATAGCTTACAGAAAGTGAAGAGAGGAAGGAGGCGGGCGGTGATGGGGTAAGCCTTTAATCCCAGCACTCAGGAGGCAGAGGCAAGTGGAACTCTGAGTTTGAGGACAATCTGGTTTACAGTGTGAGTTCCAGAACAGATAAGGCTAAACAGAGAAACCCTGTCTCAAAAAAAAAAAAAAGGCGGAGATGGGGGAAGGAATGAGGGAGGTACGGGGAAGTCCAGAAGGAAAAGGAGCTCAGCACCACCCTCCCCCAGGCTCTCCCCTCTGCAGTTTCTCCTGGGAAGGCAGGCTGTGCACTCACCTCAAGGACATGGGGGAGGCAGCCACTGTCCCTGTGGGTGCTGAGCTGCAGGGAAGACGATCTGAGACAATGCTTGCTGGCACTGAGCGCTAGCGGCAGGTGCCACGTGAGCCTCTGCTGGAGTAACCTGAGGCTGCCCTCCCACAGGTGTGGTGACCCTGCTATCTGACTACGAAGTGTGCAAGGAGGGCGATGTGCTGACCCCAGAACAGGCCCGCGTCTTGGTGAGTGTGGGCCTGCAGCCTGGGGAGAGGCCTATCTCATTACCCTTCTGCTAGAACGTGGCTCACGGCCGCTCCTCCTCACTCTGCTTTCTCCACCTATCACAGAAGCTTTTTGGGTATGAGATGGCTGAATTCAAAGTGACCATCAAATACATGTGGGATGCCCAGTCGGGAAGCTTCCAGCAGATGGACGATGACCTGCCTGAGAGCGCCCCTGAGTCTGAGGGAGACTCTGAGGAAGAGGATGACAGCTGACTCTAGGACATGGGACTAAGGCCTTCCAGCAACTTCTGCCTCTCCAGTGGACCACCAGGACTGCTGTCACCCCTCTGAAGACACCAGCTCTTTACTTTGCTATGGATAAAGACAATGGAGGTTGCTGGGGCAGGATTTGTAGACCAGGCTGGCCTCGAACTCACAGAGATCCACCTGCCTCTGCCTCCCAAGTGCTGGGATTAAAGGCGTGCGCCACCAACGCCCGGCCCCAGGATTTGTTTCTACAAAGAATAAACTTTGATCCACAGGGCTTTCCCTGTAGACAGCAAGAGACTTCCTAGGACATAGGCCTTCATTCAGCTTTGTGCTTCTGTTGGGGCCTGCACAGCCCAGCTCCTTGGCAGCACAACACTGCAGGTAGCCGACAGCAGCTCCCAGAATTGGATGTCTTCTCCAGCCCTTGCTTGGAATGGATTGGCTAAGGAAACTTCACTACCTAGGCAACTTCATCACTCGGGAAGGGAGGCAGAGACAGAAAGATTAAGAATTCAAAGTCCATCTTGGCTACCAAAGTCCTTGTCTAACTAAAGCAAATGGCTTGGTAGGAATGGATTGAGATTGAGGGCATAGGTCAATTGTTAACTCATCTTGCACGTGAAAGGTCCTTCAGTGTGAGGGAGAAAGGAAAGTGCCGGAACTGGTACCTCCTACCACTCTTTTACCTAAGTATTTACCAGAGTTTAGTCACAGTGATTCAGCAATTTATTCTTCTGGTTTTGTTATTCAAGGATATGAAAAGATATATTCATACAAAAACCCGTGTATACGTGTTTCTGATTTTAAAATTATATATATATGTATGTATGTACGTGTGTGTGAGAGAGAGAGAGAGAGAGAGAGAGAGAGAGAGAGAGAGAGAGAGAGAGAGAGAGAGAGAGAGAGAGAGAGAGAATATCCTGTATCTCTGGTTGCTGTCTTCAATGTACTATGCACTTCAGGTGGACCGCTTGTCTGCACTTACTAAGTGTTTGGATCACAATTTCACCAGGATTGTGTGGCCATGGAGCACTCTCCCAACTTAGTCACATCTTCAGCCATAAAGGACACTTTAGAGTTGTTCACTTGGAAGTGGCAGAATACAGAAACTACCCAAATGTCTCTCAGGGTGCCGTGGAAAAACATAAGACCCAGTTTTCATTTCCATGGCAGCTCATAGCACTCTGCAACTACAGTTCTAAAGGGTCCAGCACCCTCGTGTAATAAGACCCCAGACCTTAGCACAACTGACTCCATGATAGAAATACCATTCAGGCCACAAAACTCAGCATGGAGATAGCACTGTCTTCCAAAATGAAGACAAAGACCAAAGCCATCAGCTTTCATAATTCTGGGGAAGTCCCTATCTGTATTGACCTTACTTTCATCCTCTGTATTCTGTTTCTGGTTAACTGTCTTGTTCACTGATGCATTTCAAGCCAGGACATGTTTTTTGTTGTTGTTGTTGTTGTTTTTTTTTTTTTTTTTTTTTTTTTTGGTTTTTCGAGACAGGGTTTCTCTGTATTGTTTTGGAGACTGTCCTGGAACTCGCTCTGTAGACCAGGCTGGCCTCGAACTCACAGAGATCCGCCTGCCTCTGCCTCCCAAGTGCTGGGATTAAAGGTGTGCACCACCAACGCCCAGCCAGGACATGGTTTTTGTGCTTAAAATCTCACCCTGAGAAAGGCTCAGTACTACACTGCCATCTCAAGTACCTGGATTAGTCACTGGCTGACTAATGGAGACTTTCTATTGGCTTAAACCCATGTATGACCAATCTTTTCTTGTGGGTACCCACAGCACTCTAACACCAGAATCCTCTGGGAAAAGAGGGCATAATGTTGGTTGATGGAACTGTAGTTTGATTATGAGGGGACTCAAGCCTGTGCAACGTCAAAACTCTCAGAGTTCTACACTAAAATAAGTGACCTTGCTGGGTGTGATGTCCCATGTTTGAGGAAAAGAGTATTTCATGCTAGGGGGTAGCCTGGACTATGTAGTGAGTTCCAGTCCAGCCTGGGCTACAGTGTGAGACCATACTTCCAAACCAGAAGAAAAATCCTATGTGCAAACAGATACACAAATTGCCAGTGACCACCAGGACTGCTGTCACCCTCTGGAGGATCAGCTCTTTATTTTGCTGTGGATAAAGACAAGTTTGGTCTACCGTTTCCCTGTAGACAACAAGACACTTGCTAGGACACAGGCCTTCAGCTTTGTGTTCTGTTCGGGGCCTGCCCAACGCAACTCCTTGGCAGCACAACACTGCAGGTAGCTGACAGCAGTTCCCAGAGTTGGGTGTCCTCTCCAGACCTTGTCTGGAATGGATTTGCTGAGGACAACTGCATCACTTACACTTAAACATGCACACACAGAGAAACCACAGCTAAGACTGACGTAGCAGAAGGAACTGTCCCTAAGGCAGGGGAAAGCCACTGCTGGAGTTGGAAGCAAGTACTTTTTGAATCAGATTCCCATAGTGTAGCACAGGCTGGTCTTAAACTTGCAGCAATCCTCCGGCCTCTGATCCTCAAGTGCTAGGGTTGGTCCTGTGTGCTGCCTAGCTGTGTCCCACAGAGGGGAAAGCTGTAATTCAGTGGTGAAGCATGTGCATGCCATGCTTCAGGCCCAGGTTCCCTCCCTAGCAGCACAGACACTGGTGCAAGTTGTTGGGCCTGTGACCACTCCAGATCCCCTGACCTCTGCCCCAAGGCTTGAAAGTGCAGAGACCACCAAGACTGAATAGATAGGCCTTGGGTCTTCACAGTCATGAACATAAAATCCCAGGACAGGCCAGTGTGCTCATTCCTGTAATCCCAGCACCTCAGGAAGCTGAGGTAGGATTGAAAGTTAGAGGCCAAGCCATACATGATGACACACACCTTTAGTCCAATGCCTGGTGACAAAGAGGCAGGTGAATCTCTGAATTGAAGCCAGCCTGGTCTACAAAGCTAGTTCCAAGCCAGTCATGGTCTACATAACTAGTTCAAAGCCAGCTATGCCTTCATAGAACCTATCTTAAATATATATTTCAAAAAATACAGTTTTGAGCTGGGCGGTGGTGGCTCACGCCTTTAATCCCAGCGCTCGGGAGGCAGAGGCAGGAGGATCTCTGTGAGTTTGAGGCCAGCCTGGTCCTCAAGAGCTAGTTCCAGGACAGCCTCCAAAACCACAGAGAAACCCTGTCTCAAAAAAACAAAAATAAAAAATAAATAATAAAAATAACAGTTTTGATACCAGTCTATACTATGAGGCTGAAAATGCTAGGCATGGTGTGTAGACACCAACCTTGGGAGCTACAGACAAGGAGACCTGCTAAGCAGCAGATCCAAGGTCAGCTTAGTATACAAGGTCCGCATCTCAAAACCAAGACCAGTTAGATGGCTGAGCAGGTAGAAGCTGTGGAATATTCCTTCACACGGTGTCAATGTATGTAGCTGTGGTTGCTTTAATAAAGAAGGTGACTGGTCAATAGCTGGACAGGTTAAGTTTAGGCAGGAGAACCAGACTAAGGACCTTGGGAATAAGGGCAGAGTCAGAGGAGTCATCAGCCAGACACTGAAAGGAAACAGGAGGTGCGAGAAGAGAGGTAACACCACGGGGCAGAATGCAGATAAACAGAAATGGGTTAATGCCAGTGGCTATGTCAGAGGAGGTGGACAGGCAAGGCCACCAGACCACAGACTCCAGAATGTGTTTGGCTGCTGCTGTGCCTTCACATATTTGCCTCGGCCTTGTTTCTCTGGTATCTGCTGTGGTGTGAATGGGTGTGGTGAGATCCCACTGCCTGTAATGTAGTGTGTTCATCTCATGGAAACATCCTGTTCTACTCGGCATTTCTATCTTTGGATGATTTTGAAGATGATTTCTTCTTTTTTTTTTTTTTTAATGGTTTTTCGAGACAGGGTTTCTCTGTGGCTTTGGAGGCTGTCCTGGAACTCGCTCGGTAGACCAGGCTGGTCTTGAACTCACAGAGATCCGCCTGCCTCTGCCTCCCGAGTACTGGGATTAAAGGCGTGCGCCACCAACGCCCGGCTGAAGATGATTTCTTCTTAAGCTGGCCTGTCTAATTGATAATAGTTTTTGATGATAAAAAATGAATACAAGAAAGTGCTACACAAGTCAGGCCTATATAAGTTTCACCTAAGAAGTTGCATAGGTCATAGTTCAAATTAATGATTAAGGAAAACAATTGAGTCCCCAGGAACCAGGCTGGCTCAGATTCTTTTAATTTTAATATTGGGAGATGTGAGCCGGGCGTTGGTGGCACACGCCTTTAATCCCAGCACTTGGGAGGCAGAGGCAGGCGGATCTCTGTGAGTTCGAGGCCAGGCTGGACCGACAGCCTCCAAAACAGAGAAACCCTGTCTCATAAAACCAAAAAAATATATATATATATATTGGGAGATGTGTTCACAGGTTCAGAGTGTATATAGCTTTGTTAGCAAATAGCTTTGAGGTAAAAATCCCAAGAAGACAGTCAAAAGGCACATAGTTGAATGAGGACTGATTAAGGCCAGGGAACAAATACACAGTGCCCAATAGCTGATGTACTTTCCTTTCTAGGATTGGGTAGTGATCAAACATGATGACTAATTCCTTGTTCCCATTCTTGCCCTCAATCTTCTGATATAAAAAACAATTACTAAGTTGGTATGCACCCTAAAGATTTAAAGTGGAGCTAACTGATTCTTTGTCATATATAAAAGTTTAGGATAGATTCCTCTTTTTTTGTTTGTTTTTGTTTTTCGAGGCAGGGTTTCTCTGTATTGTTTTGGAGCCTGAAAAGATTTGTTTGTTTATTATGCATACAGTGTTTGGCCTGCACACCAGAAGAGGGCACCAGATCTCATTATAGATGGTTGTGAGCCACCATGTGGTTACTGGGAATTGAACTCAGGACCTCTGGAAGAACAGCCAGTGCTCTTAGCCTCTGAGCCATCTCTCCATCCCTCAACGATAGATTCCTTATAAGATTACCTTTCAAGATAACTAACAAAGACATTAGTCTTTTTGGAAACAAAAAATGTAGCCTGCCAGTAAAAGAATATCTTCCTTATTTGCACACTGTTAAGCTATGCCAAGTTGCTTGGGTATGAATGTACATGGGTTCTTGGAATAATTTCTTTTCCACCTGTAATATGTAAAATATTTAACGATGTAATGGATATGGAAAGCATGCTGTTTTCATTGTCATCATTCACTTGAAAGATAGGATGTACCGGGCGTTGGTGGCGCACGCCTTTAATCCCAGCACTCGGGAGGCAGAGGCAGGCGGATCTCTGTGAGTTCGAGGCCAGCCTGGTCTACAAGACCTAGTTCCAGGACAGCCTCCAAAGCCACAGAGAAACCCTGTCTCGGAAAAAAAAAAAAAAAAGAAAGATAGGATGTAACCATGTAACCATGTTGTAGTTTTTATGTTGCCTGAAAGATTTTGCTGGAGCATATATGCTGCCAGAAAAAGAATAGAGTTAAAATGAGTTAAAAGGAAAACATCAAAATGAGAGTTGAAAACAACAAGAATGAAAGGATCAGAAAGGAATTAGAAGGAAAACATCAAGAATAAAGATAGAGATAACAGGAAAACATCAAGAATTAGAGAAGGAAATCACCAGGAAAATAAAGAACAGAGAATGTAACAGAAAAAGAAAAGCTCTGAAAGAAACCGCCAAGAGATCAAGTGTCTTTTTTCCCTAACTCCCTCGGATAAAGAGTAACAGTGCACTGACTCTGTAGATTCCCTTTGAGTCCTGCATTGCAGGAGGCAGGTCCCCAGGCAG